CAACGTTAGTGGTCGGGAGCTAGATGGCCTGTCCACCTGTCTGGGTACATTTTATGGCTGTGGCTCACAAGCTTTTTGAATCAGTCCAAATCTGCAAATCTTTGACATTTCTCACTGCCCACTTACCTTCACCAAACACAAACTAAAAGGGACACATGGGCATCACTGTTGGGTAGACTGTCACTGAACATTCACTCAAGCTGTGGTCTGGGAGCCCCAGTCTATGGGTGCAATGAGCTATGGACCCGCCTGTCTGAGGATCTTGCATACATCAGTGCAGATAGCCCATCTGAGCTGGGTTCTTCATGTTAAACAAGAAAAGAGTGCAGGGGAACCTAGAGACCATGGTGGAAGGACATGTTTTGTGAGGGCTCACACACACAAAAAAACCTGGGCGCCCTTGTTCTGACTCAGGTTGTGTTTGGGGCATTAGGAGGCAAACTGGCAAACCTTAGATGGGTGTATCCGTGCGTCTGTTCTCTAAAGTGATAGGGGACAAGGCTTTTCTGGCAGGGACTGAATGGCCTAGCTTCTGCTGAAAAAGCTGTTTCTGATAAGACTTTGTTAGTGAAGACAGGACTTGCAGGGACTTGAGCCCTCAAAGGATTGGGACAGTCCTGAGAATCTCCACTGAGCTCTCGTTCTGCTTGTGTGCTCCCTTTTCACACAGTGAGGGCTGAAGTCTGGCCCTGTGCAGGATCTGGCCCCTCTGTAGGCCAAACCCTGCTCTGGGAAATGAGTAGACCATGGCTTACATACTTTGCTTGGTAGGCACCTGCAAAATCAGCACCCCACAAACAGCGACCATGCAGTATGCTGTCTGATCTCTGATTGATTGTCCTCTGGAGGAAGGTTCAAACCCCCATCTCCCAGCAAGGTGCCCTTGTTGCCAGTCTGGGGGCCAGCCTGTCAGGAGAGGGTTTACTACCCCAACCTGTGAGCGCTGTGCCGTGGTGTGGGAGAGGACTTTGTGCACCCAAACAGACAGCGAGTGGGACGGCTGTGTGCTGGGGAACTCCTATGGCCCAGGCTTTTCTTCACAAGCTGCTCTTTCTTGTGCTAAGGTGAATGCTGCTTCCTCTGCCTCTTCACCTGAGCAGCTGACCACTGGGATATGGTTATGCAGTCACCTGTGTAAAAGAAAAAAAACAACAGCATTCCTTGCATCTGTTTTGTCTTTTCCTTGTAATTTCAGAAGAAACAGCAAGTCTCTCAGTTTTTGATGAGGAGTGAAGGTGGTAGGAGTGGCTGGAGATGCCTGCCTCGCACATGGAAACACTTCCAAAAGGAGTTGCATGTTCTCATCCTGAGCATTGCCTTACTTGCTGGCTCTAGTACATACCCCATAGCACTTTAGAAGGCTCCAAGCTCACTTAGTCAGCTACAGCAGGCTGCATTCTGAGGACGCTCAACCTCTCTGAGGTTCTAGATACTGCTTCTAGGGGAAAGTGCATGACTGTTATTATGCACAACTTTTTTAGATCCTTAAGTGTTTTAATTCAACCTATCTCCCCAGAGCCACAGCTGGATGCAATTTTTTTATTTAATATACTAAGCAGAGAGTGGTCAGAAGCCCTTACAGCTTTTTTCTCTTATATCAGTTTGAACTACCGTGCCTCACTACTCTGTTGGCACAACTTGACAGACGGTATCTACAGCAGCTGTTTTTGTGTAGCTCTAGTGATTCCTTGGCTGTATTCTGCCTCCAACCTCTTCAGGAATCCCTGGGCTGCATATATCTATTTTTAAGACACCATACTGGCAGGAGGTAAAGGTTATAGAAGGAAAGGCAATGCTGCCTGTGTTTGCTAGGTCAGTTTCCAGTGTTTTGGTTTTGCCTGTAGGTTGACATTTAGTAGTTAGCATTTTTCACACTGTGAACACCTTTTTCTTTCTATATGTAACACATAAGCCCACATTTGAATGGCATCCCCGTGTAGCCCCCAACGGGGAGAACTATTCAGTAATCTCCTTCCACAGTCCCTTTTCAAGGCCTCACCCTGTGCGTTGATGTCAGGCAGAAGGGTGGGTTGGTCACCGTGTCCTGTCCAGCCCCCACTGCGGTACTACCCACTGCCTCGCTCAGGGGCTGAACTGTGGCATTTGGTGAAAGGTCGCTGGCTCTGATTTCAGCGGGTGCCATCCAAGTGACTAACATTTCAAATCAGTTAGAAGAGGTGTCACCTTTAAGGCACAAGGCTAACCTATATGCCAGTAGAAGTGTGAATCACCCCTGAGAGCTCTTGTGTAATCTTTAAATCAGCAGGCAAATCTCCCACAGATCTGTCAAATTGAGATGTTTTGTTTTTTAACCTTTCTATGCTGTTCCTACCCATCTTACTGAGTGGTTCTCAGGCTTATAAAGAATCATCACACATTTCTGAAACAATCTGATTTCTTTACAGCATCCATTAAATAATAATAATTTATATAGCTTAGTCATTCCGTTTAATCATTCAGGTTTTTATCATTCAATAGGATCACATTATTTATCAAAACAGGGTAAAGTTTTCATGCAGCCCAGTCTTGTGCCTTTATCCAAGTTTTATTATTTTATTTCTTTTCTTGCTGCACTGTTGGCTGCAGAATTTCTTGAAAGTGTGGATGTAGAATCTGTGTTCTTTACATGTTAGTGTAAGTCAAGTTCTTATTGAAAGAATGTTATTCGAGCAGCAGCTCAAAGCATTGCACTTTATACATACTAAAAAGTACCCAGTACCTGTAAAAACTGTTTTCAGTTAAAAAAAAAAAAAAAAAAAAAAAAAAAGAGGGAGAAAAAATGGACTTTTTAACTCTGAGAACACCCTTTGTACCACTAACTCCAAAACAAACTCTCTGTTAGAAGATGATCTGAACTTTGTCTTTTTGACCAGTGTAAAAGACCACTTGGAATCAACAGTAAAGATCTGCACATAATGTTTTGATAAATGTTAGAAGCCTTAGGCCAACCTCCCACCCCATTTCTTATTTGCTAAATTGATTTGGTATCCCAATGGTATTCTAGCTACAGAGCAGAGAGACTTTGCATTAAAAGCATTTTGGTGCTGTCAGGCTGACAGCTGCCATGATAATGAAATAATGTACAGAATGCAAAGGCTGTACTTTAAGCCAGCAGATCCATTTGCCTGCTTAATGAGAAACCTGTCCCTTTCTTTTATTAAACAGCACCATGTTGCTATCCCAGAGCTCCACAGACATGTTATATTTTGATTTTGTACAAAATCTGTTTGAGGAAAGAAAGTCTCCTTGCCTGTCAAAAAGTGTGCTGGAATATTTGTCCCATGATGTGAATGGCATTGTATACTTTTAACTAGATCACAGTGGTAGAAAAGAGAAAAATAAGTCTTTAAGATCACTATCTTCTTCCAGCATTGCCTTAGAGGACATGGTGCAAAATCTGCCTGTTGCTCCACCCGAGGAGCTCTGCTCGCCAGCCCTTCATCCTCCTTAGAATGAGACTTGAAAAATTTCCCCAAACCTAAGCACAAGGGATGCAAGCAGCACTGAACTGTGTCTTTCTACTTGCTGCTAGTGTTCAGTGCAGTCAGTCTCTGAGACCTTTCCTTAAGGCTGGTTTCAAAGTAGAAAACCTTAGCATTCAAATTCATTTAAGACTCTCCAAGTAATGTATTGTTCATAGATGGACAGATGCTTCTAGGAAAATCCAAAGAAATGCTAAAGATTAAAAAAGGAATGCAAAGGGAAATCAAAACTCTTTGCCTCCAGCTGCAGTTCCTATTAACAAAAACAAAGCTAGGCATATGTTTTGTTACTGAATTTTGTTTCTGTCTTCCTGGCATGATTTTAGTGCAGTAATTTGGTTTAAATTAATTATAACAATGAAACTCAATTAAATTTTCCTTCTTTAACTCCAGATTTTCTTATTTTGCTTGTGGGCTTTCCAGATCTTCTGCTTAAAAATACGAGAGTGCTGCTAATAAGTACAATGAGGGCTACAACATACGATTGTTCTTACTGCCTTATCTGAGTGGGAAGATAGTGCTGTAATTAAAATCCATAATTCCAATGTTCCGGATATTATGTACCTAGTTCACTGACATTTCTATCTACCTTCACATTAGCATCATGTGGTCCAAGTATATTGCTTGTAAGGAATTCTTCGCAGTATAATAGCAAAAACTTGGACATACCTTTATTTATATGCTGCACTACAATAACAAAGCTGACGTAAAATTTTGTGAGTTATGACGCATACATGCTTAAATCAGATAAGCTTCATTTGTAAATTATTGAGAACACAATTATGTTGTAACCAATCAATCCACAGCTGAGCAGTACTTCTCATTCATGCAAGCCCTATAATATTACAAGAAGCCCTGGCTAGGAATGAAGTTATTAAAATAAGATTGCAGCAGACCAACTAGCAACATAAAACATCTTTAATAAAAGCATGTCTAGATGCAGCCTGAACCTCCCATTGCTTCCCCTGGCCTGTGCCAGCCACCTCAAAACTCTCCTCTATGGAAGAGGCCAAAAGGGGGTGAGCAAGTGGGGTTAAGGCAATATGGGAACAGAACTTCACTGTCCCAAGTCACAGTATGGTGGATGCTCTGCCCCACAGGGCACTATAGCATGCATGATTACGGATGCCCCGTGCCTTAATTTCTTGTACCTTGCAAATTGTGCACTTTGCCTTGGCTATGCTGAGCTTGTCGCTGAGCAGCGGCTACAGGAAAGCAGTTTCCAGCCAAGCAGCCAGTGAGAGTTTTGCATTATAAGCAGTCTAACGCACAACTAGAATACATTACTAAATCTGCACATCCCTAATTTCAGTGCATGGAGAGGGCAGCCGAGCAGTGGTTGCTCGGCTGTAGTCCTGTCCCAGGCTCCTTTCCTGCATCCTGGAGGAGCTGTGGAGCCAGCCTGGGCTGCAGTTATTCTGAGCACTCAATCACATGGTCTCAGAAACATCTTAATAAACTCTGACCAGCCACACAGCCAACAGCTTCACCTCAAAATAAAACAGCTACCCAGGATCTCAACACAGCAAGAAAGTGTCTCATCCAGCCGAGAAGACAGCAACTCTCACACCCAGCAAAAATGTCTGACAAAACTCCCTTCGAAACAGATATGCTGACGCTGACGCGATTCGTTATGGAGAAGGGTCGCCGCGTTAAAGGAGCGACAGGGGAGCTGACACAGCTGCTCAACTCCATGCTGACTGCCATAAAGGCCATTTCCTCAGCAGTCAGAAAGGCAGGCCTTGCCCACATGTGAGTCCTACCTAGCGATACGGGGAGGAAGAGGAGGTAGACAGCTGCTTGCACAGCAAGGCTGGGGAGAGGGCAGGGATTCATAAATATGTTGGAAGTGTCTTTTTTAAGCTGAGTAACTGTAGGCATGAGATCAGAGCCTGAATTATCAAGAGTGGGACGTGGGAGCGTTTTAATATTGGGCACAAGATAGACATTTAGACTAACTGCTGTTTTGTAATATTTTACTCCAAAAATGTAAGTCGGAACTTCAAAGCACTGCTCACCTTGTTAGCCCTTGTAAATGTTGATACTGATCTATTTTTAAATCTACTGTGAATTTGCATGATATTTTTAATGCAGAATATCACACCGTGATGCTAATATCCAAGCCTGGTACTGAGCTGTGCAAATCAGGGCTTGGCTTTTCTTGGGAAGCTGGTGTTCTGCCTGACTGCAGTGTAAGTAATGATCTGAAACAACAGCCTTGCAAGAAAAGCCATATGCTGCCATGCATGAGTGCATTTCCCCTTCCTTTCACAAGTAGTATCAGGGTTACAGGTGGGCAATCTTAAAAGGCCCTATATGAAAAATAAACATAACAATTTGGCATCTAATGGTTTAGCAAATGGAGTAAAGAATTGCTTTAGCAAAGCCTGGAATGAACTGAGCTGTTCCTTACAAAGGCAGGGGAAATAGACATCAATGGTATTCTTTTAATGATGACGGCTCTGAAGCACTTCAGAGAGCTGGAGTAACCCAATAAAATTATGCATTTGAAATATACAGGTTTTGTTATGCATTGAAATATATGTTTCTGTACATGCCTGTGTATGTACATATGGACATATGCATAAAAAAGACAGAGAATATATTTGTGTAAGAAAGATAACATTTGTAATTTATTTTTTCCCCCCGCCTCACGGAAACACCAAAACCTATGATTCACTGGGTTTTTGGGGGGTTTGACTATATGGTCAAAGTCCTCGATGATCTCTGCAAATCATGAATTCAATGTCAGTACTATCACCCTCACTTTACAAGCATGGACCGTAATATGTAGAGAGGACATGAGACATACTCAAAGTAACAGCAGCATCAGGCTCCTGTGCCCTAACTGTTAAAATGTGCTTTGCCTCTATGCTTATTAGGTGAAGCTCAGCTGTTTTGCCTTGCTGACTTAGAGGAACTGATGCTTTTCTCTCATTTTCATCTTTCAATATGCAACCTCTGAAGTGTTCATTAAGTGAGGAGAATCTCTTTGATAGACTAGAGGTGGAACAGCCACCTAGCCTACAGGACATGTGACTACTGTGCTAGATGAATCAGAAAGGAAACACTCATTATGTTAATGAGCAAATGTCTCTTTCTATAAACAAAAGCTTCAGATGATGAACCAGAAATATCTGAAGTGTACAAACACACAAATGAGTAACTTGTACCATTCAAATTACTGCAATCAAACATGACATTTCAGAAATTCCTATGGCAAACTTTCAACCATGGTGACTAGTTTGCATCCTTCTGTAATTGTGAAGTTATAGTGCGCTGTTTTTTCTACACCCTTCAAATAAGAGACGGTGAAGTGACTTCTTTAAAGAAGTCAGCATGAATTTTTAACATATAAAGGAGAACTTTTTCCAAGCCATAGGTTTGAGATGGGAATCATCCTGAAAACACACTAATTGGAGAATGAGTGCTTAGAACTCCCTGAAAGTCGTGGACCTTTCCAGTATCTGAAACTTGACACTCCAAAACAGAGTGTCCAAAATGCTCAATACTTCTGAAAAGCTCAGGCAGCTTCAGGCTTTGAGTAAGACAAAAGACCTACATGGCTCTCAACTAAGGCCTGCTGCTGACCAGCATCCTGGGGACTAATTAGTTGCTCCTTTTCCCTTCCTTTTTTGTTTTTTGTTTTTGTTTTGGGTTTTATTTTATTTATAAAAATGCTGTATCTATTCCCTGTACGATTGCTCATACTTCTGAGGTGCCCAGACCATGCACATTAGGTCTAAACAGTGCTTCCTCAACTGGAAACCTCAGAAATATTTATGCTACTATATACTACACCATTAGTGCATTGCCAAAAACAGGCTAGGGAACAGAAACATCATCCTAACTCAGCCAAGGATCAATGAATAAACAGACCTTAATTCTGACATACAGTTCACCGTGGGGAATTATCTGGGCATGTCGGTAAAGCTTCTGATTTTGGGGTGGTTGGGGACCGAGTGGACATGGGTTGAAGGACCATCAGGGAGCTCTGAACAGCCAGTGTCAGAAAATAATGCAGATGCCAACTGCCCCTTCTCTTTCCTCAAAGCTGCTGCTAGCTGCTCCATGGGGCTGCTTGGGAAGCCTGGCACCCACCAGCCAGGCTGTGGGCTCTGCCCTTGGCTTGGGGAACATCCAAAAGGACTCGAGGAATGCCCAAAGGTTATGCCATCGCCTTTTTCTCATGAATGCTTTTATTTTCTAGCAGCAGCAACCATCTCTAGTGCACCTCAGCAGTGTAATCCAAAGGTTAGAGGTGTGGCAAGATAAGAGGAAGGGGCCACCCTGACTTGTTTGGGGTTTTTTTTTCATAAAAAACCTCTGATGTTGCTCTCCCTCAAGTTTATTGATATTTTTACTTTTCCAAAGGTTTGGTATAGCTGGCACTGTGAACGTGACCGGTGATGAAGTGAAGAAGCTGGACGTGTTATCCAACTCCCTGGTGATTAATATGCTCCAGTCCTCCTACAGCACCTGCGTCCTGGTCACGGAGGAGAACAAGGAGGCCATTATCACCCCGAAAGACAAGCGGGTCTGTGCAGCTCCTGCCTTCAGGGGATTATGGGCTCAGGCAGCAGCAGGTGGCACTCGTGTTTCAAGTATGAAACCTGGGCCTGGCTCCAAAACCAACCCTTCCCAGGGGAATTCAGAAAATTTGCGCCATTACTGCATTGTTTTGATTAGTAACTGTGGCAGCTGGCATGGTTTCAACAGCTAAAGGAGCTTTGGAGGGTAAAATTATTGTTGAAATTTTGTGAAGGGGGGAGAATAATTATTTTGGAGCTTGTTAACACACCTCAGATCTCAGCTGTAGGTATACCATTACATTCCCTGACCACTGGTGTAACAGTTTTGGATTACATTAATATTTAGGCAAGATGAAATGAGATGAGAGGCTGGCAGAGCTGGGTTTTACATTACATGTCCAGAGGAAGCACCTGACTGCTTCGTCAGGATTCTCCCAGGAAGGGATCCTATTGCTGCAAGATACTGCTACATCACACTGATGTAACCTATCCTTTCCCCAACATGTTTTCTTCCTGCCTTCTTACCCTCAAACCTCACATTGCAAGCAAACCCTTTCGTTCAGAAACAGAACAAAACAAATCATATTCACTGGAGGAAGGTGCTCGCTTCCAGAATGAGCCACTCCTTTTGCTTTCAAGCAATTTCTTGCATTGCTTGGCAGCAGGGAACTGATCCTTTCTATCATCAGATTTTTGTGCTGTTTGAGCAGAAATGTGCCCTCTCCTGTTTCTCTGCCAGGCCCTGCAGGGAGTGGGTGTTCTGCTGCAGGGACAGCTGGGTCAACCGTGTCACCTTCTCTGACAAGCCGTGTCAGGCATGCTTGGAGGGCTAAACGCGGTCATTAAGACATGAGTTTTGTGAAGTAAAAGGAAATAATAGTGCAAGGCTATGTATCATTTAATGCTTCCCTTGCCACTTCTGTTTTAGGGTAAATATGTGGTGTGCTTTGACCCCCTTGATGGCTCATCCAATATAGACTGCTTGGCACCAATAGGAACAATATTTGCTATCTACAAAAAGGTAAGAGGATGAACAAAGCACACATGGCACGATTCATTGGGTGAAAGCAAGATGTCTTGGGTATATCAACTTGCTTAGTTTTTTTTCCCCAGGTCTTTTAGGTGTCTTTGTGACCAACAGAGCCTTAGAAGAGTAGAAGAGATAACACCTGAGATTCAGATGTGCTAAAATGCTGCCTGAATTTGCAGGAAGGGGACACTCAGCCCAAAAAAATTGTTATGTGGCAGCGCTTCCCTCCACAGGCACTTAAATAAGACCCTGTCACCATCAGGCAGGTGGTTAGTTCCTTCAGTGATGCTTTACTCACTGCAGAAGAAATGAGGGGTGTCACAGTGCCTACGAATCACAGTGTTTGTCTTCCTGGATACTGACTGGGGAGCGCTGGCAGTCACTGCCTGGACTGTGCCAGTGTTAGCAGCGTGGTGGCCTTCCCGTGCGAGTCACTATGCCTGTTACAGATGGGAGTTCATACGCGTGCTAACAATGGAGGCCACCTGAGGCTGAAGGAAGCAGTCACCTCCTGTCACTGGGGCCCTGCCAGCATATCTGCTCCCATAGGGCTGCACAGAACAGCAACTGCCCAGCCAATTAGCAAATGTTAATAGTTACAGTCATGCCAAGTCTTGTGATTTGATTGCTAATCTCCCAGCAGTTGGTGTTTTCCCTAAAGCCTGAGCTCACAGTCATATGACTATGGGAGACCCTCAGCCATTACTATTGTGAAGTAACACTTACAGTACTTGTGGCTGCAAAGAAGTCTTTGCAGACTCAGACGCTACACTTCAAACATACCAAAATACATTTTTAAAGTCTGCTCTCATCTTTTAACTCATAATTTTCAACTGGCTAGTCAGAATAGAAGCTTTTCCCAAAAAACTCACACCATTCCCAAATGCTCAAGTTTTCAACTAATTTTCTGATCCTTCCATAGCTGTTGTTGTTCTAATATATATTAACATATTTGTTGTAAATGCTGTTTCTAAGTTGCTGGTTTTCATGTGGGTGGATACCCTTCAGGGCTTCATAAAAAGAAAATTACATTGCTTTGTACAAATGCTTCATATCCAAATGAATACTCAGCGGCTAGGATGAAGCACAGCTTATCAATTGCAATAATAACTTACCAATTTGCCCTGGAAAGTTAGAATCAATGTTGGATTTACAGACTTTCACTTGCATAATTCTTTCCATTAAAATGCTAATTACAAAATATGTGTTAATTAATCCACCTTCCTCTCAGACAAGACAATTTCATAGCAACACTCAACTTTAAACTCTATTAACTTCAAGCCCTTTGAAATAATGAAATAGTAATAGTTTATTGATTGTTACTGAAGGGTGGTGTGAAAAGAATAAAAGATGTTTATCCCAGTGGATGAGAATCACTTAGGAAAGAAAATATAATTTGAAGCCCTTTAAGGTTTATTAATGTCATTTAGGAAAAGCTAGAACAGTTGTAATTCCACAGGATGATCCTTAGCACCTGTCTGGTATTCGGTACTTTCCAGTTCTCAGATGATTGCATGACTGATATTCTCACCATGTTAGCACCTTAACTTCACTTCAAAGGCACACCCTCCAGAACTAAAATATTTGCCTTATTTTAGGAATAAAAAGATAACCAGCACTTATTTACAATGACCAGACTTGGCCAATACATTTCAAACCTGAAAGTTGTTCTCTGGCTGATACCAATCTACAGCCACCATCATGGTGGCAGGTTATCATTGCCTCCTGCCAGAAAAGCATTGCATCAGTTTCTTAGAAAAAAGCACAAGGAAATAACTGCCATACTAGTTTTATTTAATTTTCTACTTGGTTTTTGCTTTCTAAAGCATGAGTGGTATTGTTAAAAACACCAGACAAGTCAGAAAAGTGGGGCTGAAGGAGGAACCTTGCAGAAGACAGAGCAAGGGATAAGACCTTGACAGTCACTACCACTGAGAGGCTCTCAGCTGCTGGAGTGTCAGGATGTGGTGACAATAAGTATTTTTTGCTTGCATTCTTCCCAATTTTTCATGCCACTGAGATGAATCTGCAATTCTCAGTTCATAGTGCACATATATGCTATGAAATTCTGCTGCTTTGTTTCATTCTTGTTTTAGTTTGTAACTTTGCTCTCAGCACCTCAGATGTATTTTATTTCCCCCCCCTTCATTGTCATGAGGACTATGTCCTCCCATCCATGTGGTCCCTCATGGAGAGGGTGTAAGAATTCAGGGCAAACACAAAAGATAATCATGAAACCTAATACAAACAGAGACCTGGAAACCAAGTCCTTCCAGAGCTGCTCCCAGTGCTGATGAGAACTCCCTCATGTGATGTGGGCAAATCATACATGCAAAAATTTTCAAATTTGGATATCACCTGAGGGTACCCCTATAGCTCAACTCTGAGGACCTTGTTTCATCCGCTTCACGCCAACAACGAGCCAAAGTGACTGTGACAATGCTTGTCAAAGCTTCTCTGCAGTCCCTCCACCTATTTCATTGCTTTGCATAAAGAGATTTCACTACAACCATCTCATACTCAAAATATAATAGAAAGGAAATCCATCCATTCACCAGAAATAAGTGAAAATATTCAGCAGCTACCAGAGTCTACTGGACAGCTTAATTCCCTGGTTTGTTTCACAGTACATGGTACTGGGCAGGACAAAACTGCAGTCCTAACACTGAAATATCAGCTGATCTCTAGATGTTTTACATCCTGACAAGTTCTGTGACATGTTTGTTTGGGACTGAGCATTTTTCCCTTCCTTTTGGAAGCTGGCTTTTTGAAACACAGCTATGAATAAGGGTAGAAAACCAAGTGAATTCTGCTCAATTGTCCATCTCCCGAGGGAGAAGTTACTCTGTTTTTTCAGAATGGTCAACAAATACGTGGTTTCTCAGACATAAAAACACAGAAAATGCATTTAAGAGATAGGACTGAAAATCTCATCTCAGAAAAATGTATTTGAAAGCAATATCATATGTAACCAGCAGCTTCATATACTGTGTATACACCATGTTCTATAAAACAAACCTTTTTACTGTATTTATAAAAAAATATTTTTTATTTAATGAAGAAAGCATACAAAAAGCTGGGAGAATCATAATCATTTGCAACTAGTTGTGTAAATGTATGTTTAATTCTGCATTTAATGTTGAAAATAATTAGTCTATTATAGACAAACATTGCTTTTGATATCGAGATGTATGTGCCATGGGGATATATTTTTGAAAGAGAAGATGCTATGTAGGGTACAGTAGTTGGTTCTATAAAAGATTGTTTAGCAAAGGATTAGCCACTAATAGTCAGTATTCAAAGCTCTGGAATATACAAACAGGGGTTTTAACTAGTCTTCCTTCATTATGTGCATTAGAACCTCTCTGAATAAGCAGCTTGACACAGGGTAATTCCAAGGGACTGTGTACCAGATGTATTTGTATATGCTATATTTCAGCTCCCATGAAGAGCTGGTTGGCAACTGGATTTTTTTCCACAGAAGAGCTTGGCAAAATAATAATAATAAAAAGTTTTGAGCAAAATACAGCAAGAAACTGTAAGCAAAAGTAATAAAAGTAACAAAAATCTTTCAGCTGAAAATGGAAACATTTTGATGTGGAATTACTGTTCTTCATAGGCCATGAAAGATGTAGTTTTTGTGTCCCATATCTCCATTTTCCTCTAGATCATAGAATCATAAAATGTTGTGAGTGGGAAGGAACCCACAAGGATCATCAAGTCCAGCTCCTGCCCTAGCACAGGACAATCCCAAGATTCAGACCATGGGTCTGCAGCTGTCCAAATGCTTCTTGAGTATTGTCAGGCTTGGTGCCATGACTGCCTCCCTGGGGAGCCTGTTCCAGTGCTCCACCACTCTCTGGGTGAGGAACCTTTTCCTCATGGCCAACCTAAACGTGCCCTGGCACATCGTCCTGCCATTTCCCCTGGTCCTATCATTGGTCACCAGAGAGAAGGGATCAGTGCCTGCCCCTCCTCTTCCCCTTGTGAGGAAGCTGTAGATCATGATGAGATCTCCACTCAGTCCCCTCTTCTCCAGATTGAACAGCCAAGTGACTTCAGCCTCTCCAAATACGCCTTCCCCTCTAAGCCCTTCACCAATTTAGTGGCCCTGCTCTGGACACTCTCCAGTAGCTTTAGATCCTTTTCATACTGTGGCACCTGAACAGCATTCCCAGGTTACCCTTAGCCTTCCACCTTGCTAGGATGGGCACCCTGAGAGCTCATTGCCATGGGACACAGCGGAGAATTTCTCCAGTTGTGGAGAAGAATATCTATGAAAGACATTCTTGGTTTTTTAAATAATTTACTCAATATTAATCAAATATTTTATTTCCTATACAAAACCGCCTCCATTGATTTTTATTTTTTTAACCAGATATTTTGAGCTAGACCTGCTGTTTCTGTTTAGCTGCTATCAATCTAATTAAGCCCATGCAATCACTGAGAAATTGTTTGAGTTTGGAACAATAAAATGCTAAACCAGGGCCTGAAGAAAGGATCTGAGGGGTCCTTGTTTTAATTCCACCATCAAAACATTCATAGAAGACCCACCACAACCAACAAGCTTTTAAAGAAACATTAATATCAAGCATTCCCTACCCAATTTGTAGTTCCAGGAGGTGGAGACTGAAGCCAACCTTCCCAAGTTCTCCTTGCTTTTCCCCTTTCTTACCCCACCAGTCAAACTCTTGTAAGCCATGGCTGAGGCACACCCCAAGAGCTGGCTGGAAATATTTGTACCAGGTCTTCTTGGGCTGTTGTTGATCAGTGATAATCAAAGTGACAAATCAAAATAGGAGTGTCAGAAATTGATTAAAAGCCTGAAGCAAAATCCCACATGAATGTTCTGTGTAGAGTGATATACGGATACTTGCACACAAACACATATTGCATATGCAAATACATTTGTTATTTTGTATATAATATGAAAATTTTATCACTTCAGTTACCCATCTTTTCAGCAGAGACCAATGCACAGTCTTGGTTCCATCATGTTGCATCATCTACCCTTTTATTCTGCACTACAGGAAGCAATTTTTCTGTGATGTAATTGCTGCATTCACCTCACACTTATTCCCTCTGAGGGGTGTCAGTATGATAGTTTATGTTTACATTTACAGAAAATTAGCACCTCTGTTCTGTCTCAGATTTCTCATGATCTTGAATTAACAGACTAGGCTGTAATGCTAAAGTATCAGCTTTGTTGCAGGTATCATATTGATTGCATTACATGTATAAAATAACAAACTCTCAATGTCCTGTCCCAGCATGCACATTTAGTTGTACCAAGCTTGCCCTGAACTAGTAGGGAACAATCTCTGTTTTGGTTGTTTCAAAGGTCTGCATAGACACAAAAAGGAAATGTGCCCCACACTATTATTGAAGTGTGGTTTTTATTGTTTCTCACAAGAATCTAACTTTTAGTCCAACGGTAATTTTTCCTCAGGAAACAGACGATGAACCCTCTGAAAAAGATGCTTTGCAACCGGGACGCAATATTGTCGCTGCAGGCTATGCCTTGTATGGCAGCGCTACGCTGGTCGCCCTCTCCACAGGCCAAGGAGTGGACTGCTTCATGCTCGATCCGGTACAGTCGCGGTGTTAATCACATTGCTAGTATCTTTTAGAGCTTTCCATGGTTGAGTTTACTCATTTTTGTTACTCCTTGTCTCTGTAATCTAGGCAATCTACGCAATTCTTTTTTCACCCACAGCCTGAAGCATCCCACCTCCACCTTACAACTATTTAATAATACATGAGTATGTTGGTTGCAGCAGCTCTGTTTGTTTGGTTTTTTTCCACTCAGTGAAAGAGAGTTTAAGTTAAACAGCATATGAAACCCTGTTGATTCAAACCAGACTGCTGGTTTGCACAAACACTCAAGAAAATTTACTCTGAACAGTTTCTTTGCCTTCACTTACAGGACTTCTGCTTTTTTTCTTGTTCTTGCCTTTTCTGTCTGTAGAAAAACCTCAGCATGTTCAGTGTTTAGCCTGGGGCAAGGACCATTTTTTGATACAGTTCATGCAGTGATGTCTGATTTCCTCAGTGCAATTTAGTCCTATGGCTAAGCCCTCTTAAGTTGCATACCCAACAATTTGCAAAAGCACAGCCATGCCCATACAATCGGATATGTGCCAGCCCTCAGTGCCCGGCCCAGCAAGTGTTACTGCAGGAATGCAGGAAGGAGACCACTCATTTGAGAAACCAGCATTAGATAGAGGCAATAACACAGGAGGGTTTTTTGATAAAAGGATGCATTAATGTCAAAACTCCTTTTAACCTTTATAAATACGGTCATTCCAAGTGGGAAGAACTAGGAGCTGAACTGATCTGGTTAGAGACAGAGGAAGAAAAGGTGAAAGTTGCACTTAAACTGCAGACAGAAACACCTGGGGGTAACTGGCCCCATTCACTTTAAGGTATTTAGACAAGACAGGCAAGAAGAGTTCAAAATTCAGAAGGCAGTGTAATCTCTTAATTTGTAAGTTTATGATTTGTGGACAGAGATTCACAATCCATCTGCTTTCAAGGCTGACTGGTGTTATTTTGATTTGTTGACTATTACAGTAGAATTGCTTTTTTTTTTTATAGTACCAATGGGACAAGTTTCCATAAACTTAATACAGATCGTGTGTGTTTTACTCTGAAATACTATGAAATTATACACAAGACCGGTGCTGAAAGAACCAAACTGTGCCAGTGTTTCTGCCATCTCTAGTGTGACAACTGATACAGAAAGCCAATAAAATTTTCTGCTGCTTGCTAATAGCTGTTCTATCCTGTTCTGCAGGGTCTCGGTGAATTTATTTTGGTGGACAGGGATGTTAAAATCAAGAAGAAAGGGAAAGTATACAGTCTCAATGAAGGTTATGCGAAATATTTTTATCCTGCAATGACAGACTATTTACAAAAGAAGAAATTCCCCGAGGTAAGAAAATATTAGCACTGTACCCAATGTACTGTGTGCTGGCAAGTACTGCATTCCACACAGTCCTGGCTGATGAGAAAGGATTTGAGGGCCTCACTGAGTTCAGCCCCATGCAACTCTTTCATGCTGTCAGGTCTATTTCGGGTACATATCTGATGTGATTCTTTTTCTGGTGCCCTTTTATCTTTTATAACTTAGACTTCGGTAAGTAAATTAATAACTTGTTCATCACTGTGTGGAAGAAAATGTGCTATACATGAAGAACCAGGTTTTTCAACAAAGCTTTGAAACTGTGCCAACAAAATGTGGGAGTACCCTTGTTTTCCAGCTTATCTGAATATGCAGCTCAGTCATATGTGCAGCTGGGTGTTTGGGGCTAAATTCCACGTACTGTCAGAAGGTGCTTGCAGGGATCTGAGTGGCATCACCTTCTCCTTCCTGTATATACTTGCATCTGAGAAATGCAGTATCACTCTTGCATTGTCTACTTGCATCACAGAGCACAATCTAACCCATAGGTTGAAAAAAAAAAACAAAACCAAAAACCAAACCTGACATGAGGCACAATTTCACTATATTCTGTTGTTAAGAGAATTATACTGTATCCCTCAGAGAGATAAAACTGAGAACATTCCACGTCTGATGAACTTCCTCGAGGGGACATACAGCTCTCTGTGGCCACTAGTCAGTCAATGCTAGGAGGACGTAACACAAGCTCCCAATGTGGAAAGCTGTAAGCTCTCCAGAAAGTGTGGCTATGTGACCAGTAAGTCATAACAAAATACAGTGATGTGGAACAGCTCAGTACTGAACTGGGCCAGGAAACTGTTTTTAATGCTCTTCCTGTATAAAAAACCAACCAATCAAACAAAAAAACCCCATAAGATTATTTATTCAGCTATTAGTTGTTGAGAATACTTATACAGGGCTCAGATAAAAATCAATGTATCCAGTAGAAAACTTCAGGGTGCTGTGCAAGGGAAATGTAACAAATAAGATTTTAAACAATAGTCCTGTGAGAAGCTCTTTCTGAGCTGAAAATCTGCATTTACTACATTGGGTATAACTGCAATGCTGACCTCTTATCAAAACCTCTTTTCCATATTACCCAGATTGTAGCTACATTGGGTGTTATATCACAGCATTTTAAATATATTCATTTTTAATATTTGAGGTTATTTTGAAACTTCAAAGTCTGCTTTCAGTCCAGCTGTGAGAGAAGCATGAGCCCATGACACAACTTTCACAGTTCCTGAAAACTAATCCAGCTGGGAAAAAGAAGATCTGTGCTTCTCATTCTGCTCACATCATGCTGAGCTATATATTTGGTATAATGCACTAACACTGGATTTATTAATTTGTGTTTTTGCAAAGCACCCAAATATTGTTTAAAGTACAACTCTTAAACAAATAGACAACCCCAGGCAACTATAAAAATTCTGAAGAGATTTCAAACTCAGTGAAAAGGCTAGACAGAGATATTTCACCACAGGCTCAGTGAGGACAGCTCTGTCATGTGATTCACTAAGTTCTTGGATTAAGGCATACAGGAAAAACCTCATTTGCAAACACTGTTTTATCTCAAATCTGTGCTTCATTTGAGGAAAGCCTGTTGGAAGTGTTGTTGCACTAATGCAACGGAAGTTGGCAGAAGGTATTTTTGTTACTTTAAAGCAAGCAGCACAGTAGTGCATGGGTCATTTGGAGCAGGAGAAGCTTTCCTCAATGGTGCTGAGCAAGCACACTGTTTTGCTGCTCTGAGATGCAGGGTTGTCTGCATGAGAGGGGCCAAGGCACAAGTGTTATGGCCGCAAAGCACAAGGAAGTGCCCTGCCCATTTCAAAGCTTGTTATGAGCCTGAGTTTGGAAACAGCATAACTCAGTTGTTTGATTTAGAAAGGACATTATATTTGCATTGTGGGAGGACAAGAAGAAGAAGGTGCTGCCACTCTTCCATAGCATGAAACCTGCTTCCTGCCATCATCTGTAAGCCTTACCAGCTATAGCCACATTGATGATGCTCCTTCCTTCCCTGCAGCACCAAGGTGGAGCATGGCACAGCTTTGGTCTTTGTCTTCCTCTCTTCAGCACGCAGAGGGGCAGTGAGGGGTATCTACTGGATAGCCCCTGCCTATGACTTGAAGAGGAACTGACGTGAGGGGCATGAGGGACCCCTTCTTACTCAGATGGACCACTCTCAACCTATGGTCTTCTGGCCACCAGAAGCCAAGAGACTGAGCATTAATTTCAGCTACTTGTCACTTTCTTATCCATTTTTTTCTTTTGATCTTACCTCTATTTCCTTCTTCCTGTGGTTCTTGGTCAACATGCTGTTCAGATGACTCTCCAACATTGCCACAGAAACCTGAAAAGTTAAAAATAAAAAAGGTGCACAAAGTAGGATGTTGTCCACAATGTGTCCTGTGTTCTGTATCACTATCATTGGTGACCAAACATTGCAAATCAACCGTTTAAGTGGACAAAGTAATGCAACACATTTAGTCCAATCTGTACAATGGGCACTGCTGGGCCAGAAACTGTTTCTGCACAAATTTCACTCTAACTCCTTCTCCAAGTGGGTTCCTCCTCCAGTAATGCTTGCAGACCCCTAGCCTCTAGCTAGCACTGGTTCACTGACGGTAGAACTCAGAAACATGTTGTGGGCATTGTCGTACTTTGTTATTCCACCCATTTTTACCTTTGCTTCCTATAGCCACCAGAGAAGCTTAGTGTTATCACAGCTTGTTTATTAAGAGCCATGCAATGGAGACTCCCTGTTTAAGGATTTGTCTTAGCAGTGCCTTAGAAAACTTATCATTGACAGCACATTTCAGCATGAATCATTCTTCTGCCAGCCAGCCCAGCTTGACATAAAAAAGCTAGTAAGACCACTGTGCTAGTAAGATCACCATATCTGTAAGTGGAGCAAGGGATGCAGGGTGTTTCTGTCGTAGTCTGTAGAAAAGCCTTTTTTCACCTAACTCTCCTAGTCATCATAGTTATGCAAGAAAAATTTGTTAGAAATCAGTAGAATAAAGAAGTGAAAAGTGAAAAATTTTCTTCCATCACATTGTGAAGAAAAAAAAATATCATAGGACCTATCTGATACAAGCCATTTTTATTCCTTTGGGTTAAGCAAAGAAAAGCAGCAGAAAGGTTGAAACTAAGAGCAATCACAACTTTACTCAAATGCTATGGACGCTGACCAAGGGAACATCAAGGTTCTCCAAGTCTTTCATTAGCATCAGCCAAACCAGTGTAAAGTCCTCACTGGGCAAACACACAGCTTGGCAGTACTCAGAACTCAGGATGAATCTCCCTAGCATTCATGCTCTGTTATTTTGTTTGAAAGAAAGCCTGGGCAATATGCCAACATGCATGTAACACCCATTAACTTTCTCATCTGTGAGAAAAAATATGAGTGAACAAACTGGAGAAACAAGAAGTAATATTTCTAGTAACTAAAAGGACTATTTATTCCTCCCATGCAGGTAGCTGGACACTAGGGGAAGTGAAAATTTTATTTTGGTCTGTGGTTCAAGTGATAGCCATACCAGAATGGCGGAATTTCTCTTCTGTATTTCTCTCAGCACAGTCTCAGCGGTGTGTTTCTAGCAGATTAATTTCTATCAGGCTAAGAAGCAACTAAAGTTACCAGTGGAATCTCATCAGCTTCATGTAACATGGCCCACGTACACATAAACTGTGTAAAGGATCCACATGTGGATAGGAAATCCAGCACATTCCAAACGTGCCTGATGATTTGTACACAGGTGGCTCAGCTGTGCAGCTCATGGTCAGCAAATCTGATACATGTGGGTTGTGGACTTCTCATTTGATAATGACATGGAAGCAGTCCTTTGCAGTTTGTTTCAGGGCCTTCTTATGGTCAGTATGCTATTAATTTTTGTAATGTTTAACAAGATTTGCTTCATCACCTTCTGAAACCATAAAAGACAGCTCTGTTGATTGTATTTTTAAAGGTAATTTTAGACTGCAGTCACATATTTCCCTGAAAATTTTATTTTCTTAAACTGCAAACTTGCATTTGTCTCTCTTTTAACACCTCTTAAAATGTTTTTTCCTGACCTCAGATTTTTACAGTTGCAAAGTCACAGGTGCAAACAGCCTTGAGATGGAGAAGCTATCACTGCAATTCTAAATATGCAATTATATGAGGGTGAGCCATAAAAAATAAGGGATCAAATACTTACAAGTATTGTTCAGTTGTGCCTGGACATAATAGGGCTAGGTTTAAACAAAACTAAATATAAGAGCTTCAGGCTGTGTCTTATCCATCATTTCTTTCATACTTTGTATTGTTTTCCTCTGAATTTTCAACAGTTCTAGTATGCACAGGAAGAAAGACTCATGGAAAACAGCACAAGAACAGTTGAACAAGGGTTATTACCTAGGCTGGAACAGTTCTCCATTCCAGTTTTACTACCAGCTGTATCAAATACCCAAGTCTTATATTTAGTGGCTTAGGACTCAACTTCATAGTGCTGTGTTGCATGATATTGTGTCATTTCATGAGAATCTCTTCCCGTTTTAAAAGAGAGTAAACATCAAAACTTCACAGTTGCACAGAACAGTTTGAAAAAGTGATTTCAAAATAGAATTATGTTTTTCTCTATCTGTGTTTTTTCCTCCCACTAACCTCATGATTTTTCTGGGACGGGTGACTAACTTGTGATGTCTGAAGGCATTGCTGGACAAGTCCTCTATGTATTTCTCTGGATCTGGTATCAGCACAAGGCAAGCTTTGTAGAAAGCACTAAGATCTTTTATTAAACAACAGAACCAGACAGAAAAAACATGCAGGAGTTTATTCAAACTTTTAGCATTGCAATACACAAATATATATGTGTATTAAATTTGCATGAAGTCACAGTCTCTAGGAATTTTCTGGGGAGGCGCAAATTCCTCCTCTGCTTCATTGAAGAAAGAGTGAGAGATAACAAAAGACCAACAGAATTCTTGGTACAGTAGCTATCAAAAAGCTTTCCTTCAGTTTATGTTTGCATTGTGTATCTCCCCTTTGTAAAAGTATGGCAATGCATCGCTTTTCTCAGGTGGAGCTTACTTGGTGTACATAACTCCTATTCAAGCAAGACACCTTGCTTGTCTTCTATATCTCCTACCTTACCACTTTTATGACCAGGAATCCTGAGACTGATATAAATACTTCCCTGATTGCTCTCACTAAAATGACTTCTCCTTCAACAACATTAATTTCTAAACTGAGAGTAAGGAAAACTACATTCATGAATAAATTGCTGTCTCCCAAACTAAGCTGCAGAATGAATGCTATGACCAATTTCACATCTTGACAAATAAGCTAGAAGGAAAAAGCTGGAGTCTTCTGGGAACCATGTGGATGTGTACTGAAAAGTTACATCCTTCCTCATGTCCTGGCTTAGGAACCAGTGAAGGATCAGCAATCAAATGGGTACCCTGTTCTGATAACGTGAAGAAGTTTTCTCTCACTGTTTGCAGTCCTTGCTTTTTCACAGGCTGGGGGTTGATACCAAATTGTGTATTCAAATTACAGGCACCCTGGTTTCCATGCTGTGACTGCTGCTCTCTAAAGTGCTTATTTTAGAATTCCTATGTCTTACAAAAGGTTAACCTTCAGGCTAGTTTAGGCATTTACAGTGCCCATAAGCAGCCATTTATTTAAGCGGATTTGATTCCTGTTTTATAACAAAATTATGTTTTGCCATGCTACTAGCTGTCTAGCCTGGTAGATATAATGCTTTATGTTTTTCAGGATGGCAGTTCCCCATACGGTGCCAGGTACGTGGGCTCGATGGTAGCTGACGTTCACCGTACATTGATGTATGGTGGGATCTTCATGTATCCTGCTAATCAGAAGAGTCCTAAAGGAAAGGTAAATAGTTTGATTTACTTCCTGGTGAACTTAGTCAACCTAATACCTCTGGTTTTCCCAGAGATGTAAAGGAATAGTTTAGATATAGAAATGGACAATAATTTTCCACCCCTGGAGAAAATTTTTAATGGATATGATGGTCAGGAATCAAATTTAGGCAATTGCCAATTTAAGGCCAGAAATCTTCCTATGTGTTTTTATATTACAAACTACTCAAATGGTTCTCACTGCAACCAAGGACTTAATTAATTCACTTTTATAAAATGTTTCAGTAACATAGAAACCTATTGAGATACCTATGCACAGCTGGCACAGGCCTGAGGAAGCCCTGTGCACTTTATACTGGCAACTAGAGTCCAAGTGGGATATGCTGAACTCCGGGTTTGGTCCAATGTTAGACAACTGAGTTTGCCTGCCTAATGTTTCCAAAGGGTACTGAGCTTACTACCATCAGACTCACAAACACAAACTTTTGCTAACTGATCTGAAAAACTCTGACAGTAGAAGGTGAGTTTTATGCATGCTGAGATCAGTTTTCTGGGAAAAGATTATTTCCCATTTGGACACCTGTACAAAACACACTGTGACTTAATGCACTGCAGTGCAATGCATTGACTCCCTGAATCTGCTGGGCCATGGATCATAATCCACCTCAACTTTTCTCCTGCAGCATCAGGTATCCTTATTATCAAACTTCTGAACAAATATGTTTTAAAAGAGATCTGGTTATACAGCTGACCTGTGGACCACCTGCAAGTCATTCTTAGGGAATGATTTGTGCACTGCATAATAGATTGGTCATGGTGTTTTGACTCCAAGACCACCTTCTTTCCTGATCAATACCATACTCAAAACCTTCTATTCAATTTTTTTATCCTTGGCTGGTATGTGCAGTAATCTGCCCTCATAAAACTACTTGCCCCATCTCCCACACTGGTATCAGAACATCCTGATGTCTACAGTTCTTTAGGGACAGAGGACTACTGTTTCCATCCTGGTGAGCCTGTATTTATCATAGTAACAGCAGATCCAACCGGTCTGCAAAACAAGGAGAACAGGAAAAGAACACTCTTCAGACAACAGAAAATGTCTGCTTGTTTGTCCAGGCAAATTTGCTTTAAACATTAGAGACAGCGTCCTGGGGCAGGCGGGGGTAGGCGGGCATGTGGAGGGAGGCGGGGCAAGGGGAAAAAAAAGCCCACAAAAAACAAACTCCATGAAATGGTGTGGATCTGTTTGTGCGTCAGAGCAAGAGACAAAATAGGAATTTGCTGTGTGTGAGAGAAAGGGGTTTGCTGACTGGCCTTTTCAAATTAAACATTTGTTTTTCAATCTGTGCTAAACCATTGTTGAAGAGAAAAGATGAGAAACAGGACAAAAGAACAAATGCACAAAGTATTTATATAATCTTACAGAAATCAAGATTTCTGCATAAGTTATTCTACATTGATTATTAGATTGATCTGGCTTGCACTGCCATAGTAGAGAGAGTAATGAAAGAAGCAAACTATACTATCATTACAAATTAAAAGTTTTCTTCTTTCCTTCTCAGAGTGCAGGTGTATACAGTTCTTTTCACATAAACCTCTTCTTGTTGGAGAGATAATGCCTTTGTGGCAGGTGCCCTAGTCACCAGGTACCCCTGAAAGACAATCTATGCACTTGGATAGAGAGCTGAGAGGATCCAAATGTCACTGGAATTGATCCAAAGGCTTTAGAGAAAATGTAAATGACATGCATGTAGGCCCTAGCATATAGAGCTCCTTCTTTAAGTTAGAGTGAGAACAAAATGCTCAATAAGCAGTGCAGAAACAGGCAACAAATAGATTCTCTTTTCAAATCAGATATATTAAATAATATTTTTATGAATTTATGGCTTATAATTCTCTATTAATCGAAAAATGTTAAACCTATCTGAAGATAGCCCATCTGAAGACCTCTACGTGCAATTGCACTGCTACCTGAAGGAAAACTACTTTCCTTAAGCCACGTAGTCACAGTTAAGCACCAAGAAACTCAACACGTGGTTCCACAGTGGTACCACTGCTGTCTTCTGGCTCATGATCTTCCAAAAGTTGGCCATGCACTTCGGGGAACAATGAAGGCTATTGGTCCTACGTTGCCGGTCGGATGGAGTCCTTCTACCAGAAATAGCAATTCAGTAGGCTTTAAGTTAAGAATGAAGGTAATATGTGCTATTTAAGTTTGTGATATATCATGATATTCCAGCTCTGAAGAGAAGGACTTGGGTGTGGT